AACTGAATGCGAGATTCATGAGCCGCGGGCATGGCAAGATAGCATTGTGCACAGGGCTCACGAGTTAAAGCGCACCGATGACGATCGCCCCCGCGCGTGCGCACTATCATTGCCGCTGACGTCACTGGCGCTTTATTATTCCCATTCACTCTTACGCCCAGAGAATTAACGAGCACACCCCATATTTCTCACCCCCACATAGGTCTGTTTGGTAGAAATACGTCCATTTGTGGAAGTCAATGCCGTTCATAAGTCATCATAGTCATCATGCATTAGAAGAAGAGCTGTATAGCTCAGTAATGAGGCGTAAATGATCGATTTTCAATATTTTCCCATTTGAAGCTATTGTGAAGAATCGAACACCCTTGTTATCGATCCTTTTCAATAGGTTTAAATGACAGACCAATCGATTAAATCGGAAAGCACACCACGCCAGGGGTATAGCACACGAGCGTAGAATTTTCAGTAGGGCAACTTTAGAGTCTAGCTGAGTCCGAAAATCATTTTCAAAAAGAATCTGAAGAATCAACATTCTCGGTAGAAAAACATACCGATGGCGAAGTACAATAAAAATAAAATCCCCAATAGCCAACTTTACGCGAGATCTCTTTTTCAGGGCCCCGAGAATAGCTTTCCACCGCACCGGTGAGCTTTTCCTCGGACCCCTGAAAGACTGACACACTTTGACAATAACAGCCGTTCTGCTTATTATTAGCGTCGAAAGACGCTCTGTTCGGCGGAGTAGCCCAGGGTTCTTTGTGCAGGAGTCAAAGGAAATGTTTTCCGACAATATTGCGGTCGGAAGCTTTTCACACTCCGCGAGGCTTTTCACCGGCGAAAGAAATACGGCGTACAGTGGGACGCGCCAATAGAGGAAGTCGGACAAAACGTTGAAACTTTCAAAGCTCACACTTTTATTAATAAGGAAAGTAGGAGGTTTAAAATTACTGGGGTTTTTTGTGTTTTGTGCTACTTGGAACACGCTCGATAGTAATTTTAGACAGAATAACTATCACACTTAGCAGTTATAGTTAGAGATTTAATGTCCGACCTCTTGAAAACTTTGTTTCGCTGTGCGACGCTCTGAATTCATTTTCGCTCACGGTCTACTTTCGCTCTCCGCCGATGCCTGAGCTTCGGGGCCCGACAAAAGTTCGCCCGGCGAGCACTTAAAAGCAGTTATCACCCAGTTTTGAATAGACTTGCGCGCCCACGTTTATTGTCTGCACTCCGTTTATTATTTTTAGTGCTCGCGTCGATGCTTCAAAAGTTCCGATCGAAATCCCGTCACTCTCATTCGATGGTGATTTTTGCAAGCTGGCAACGCCGGATGTTGCACTATGGATCGTATTTGATAGTGGTTCGATGTATCGTTTGATTCAAAACAGAAGAGCATAACCTTAAACGAAAATTTTAGGATTTAAGTTGGAAAAGCTGAAAATGAGACAATTCCTAACAATTTAATTTTTCATTGCCATTTTGGTTATTTTTGCAAGCTGGCAACGCCGGATTTATATATGGATCGTATTCGATAGTGGTACGATGTATCGTTTGGTTAAAAAAAAATAGAACATAACCTCAAACGAAAGTTTTAGGATTTAAGTTGGCAAAGCTGAAAATGAGAAAATTCCTGACAATTTAACTTTTCATTGCCATTTTGTACTCACAAAAATAAACAATAATATATCACAGAAAACCTGTTCCTCCAGATTGCTAAATTGATTTTTGAAGCTATGTCTACATGTTAAACCAACCGACATCGATAAAATCTCACCTGTTTGATGTAGTGAACACGATCTATTAAGATTTATGAAAACTTCGATTCTAAATGAGTCACCTGGATTTGATCGTTTTATGTATACGTAGAAATGACAGAAACCTAGGGTCATACTGCCGTGCTAAGGAAGAACGCCGTATGAACATTCGAGCGTTGCCAAATTCCCTCTCAGAAAATATTTATTTTTTTGAAAAGATATAAATATTTTCCCTTGGAATTCTCGGACGTTCTAGATCAAATTACGAACGAAATCGGCTGAAATATCGGAAAAGAACTGTTCACAGATTTTCCTGAAAATGTGTGATTTGTTAAATGAAATTCGGCAACGCCTGATGGCTTATACGGCGTTTTTCCTTAGCACGGCAGAGTAGCTGTTGTGACTTGGTTTTCCCTGTTATACGCGGTCCAAATATGCAGCCTTACGCGCGTAACCACCATAACGAGAGGATGTGACTTTCACGAAGGCGCTGCATACAACTATTCGTACTCGATGGATGTCCGTGTTGCATACACACTCATTTGAAGGCGTTTCAACTTTCCTCTCTCTTGCTACGCAGCAGTGACCCTGTGTGTGCCATGTTTACATACAGTTCCACGACTTTGTTTACCCACAGTGAATTGTCTGCATAGTACGATGCAAATTCCTTAAAACTTTCAAAGGAATTTACAAACGTTCTCGCGTAAAAAATTAAATTACCCAGTTAAATATAGCAATAGCTGATGTGGCTTGGTTCCTTCTTGTTAAACGCGGTCCATTTGTTCTTTGGATGAATCTCCCTTTAAGAAGGAAGTTTCTCTGACTAACTATGTTCAAATGCACACAAAAATTAGGATGTAAGCAACTTGATATCGGTATCAAGTCCACAATCTCCCTACCTCAGGCGTGCGCCTTTGCTTAATTTATTCGGATAATCCAAGGGCCGAATGATAGAATATCTGCATAATCGCAACTTTTACGTTCCTGGACGAATACTTAAATCTTGAAAATTAACCGAGTTTTTGATACATTTCATGAAGCGTCCATTATCGAGCCACCAAAATACCTTTAATTGTGTGCATCAAAACCAGTGGCGTGGCGTGAATGATCGATAATCGATATCTCGCCATTTGAAGCTATGCTGAAGAATCGATTACTAAGGTGTTCGCTGTAGGTAAACACTCTAAAAATTGATCTTTTTTCACAGGTTTGATTGGCATATATTAATCGAAATATTGCAAAGCACGCCACACCACTGATCAAATCGTTCAAGTTCAGATTTCTCCATGATACAGTTTTGCGCTCCATAACAAGCGTAAACTCTATCATTTTACCTCTATTCTAGGATGGAGGGGAAGGCGACCATTTATTAACCAGACAAGGTGCGCAGTTAAGCATTCTGGTACATGCTTCTTAACCAAAATTTATCTCGAAATCCAACATGTCAAATTTTTCCTAGTTTAAGGACTATTTCCAAAAATTCAAAGTGAATAGACCCCCGTAGATACATAAAGCACACTTGTCGCAATGAAGCTCGAAAAAACAGCGGACAAAGGCAAAAGGAGTGACCTCAAGGCTGGGTGCGTAGGGTCCCCGAGTCGGCGCAACAAAAGCCTCGTTAATGCAATCAAACGCTTTTGCAGTCTATGAATTTCAACGTGGCGTCGTCCCGGGCTAACTTTCAGGCAGCGTCTCTGAGCGGCCTTTTTTCAGCTGTGAAAAGCGCAAACAGCGGCGCAGATTTTCAGCATTTCAGTCACGTTGATTCGCTTCGCAGTTCGAGAACTTAGGTTGATGATCGTGTGTTCCTTGTGCAGTTTTCTCGTTTAGCCGTTGTGTCACAATGGTGCCTGCGTTCCTTCTCGGCAAATTAAATTACCGTCTGCCGCTGATTCCCCCTCCCCCGCATCTGTCGTTGCTCCCGCTTCTTTTTTAAACCGAAAAAGGAGCCCGAAATTCCTCTCGGCCTCTAAATCAGGATCAAGAGTTTGGCACAGAGAGCGTCTGAAAAAAGCAAAGGGCTAAAAAGCGGCAGAGCTGAAACCAAACCTGATGCCTTTTGCCCTTTTTCCTCACTACCTTGCTTCAACTGGACCGCGTTAAACAGAAAGGAAACAAGCCACATCAGCTATTGCCAAATTTAATTGGACGAATTAATTTCTTACATGAAAACGGTTGGGCGGATTTTCGTGCAAATTTCAGTGAATTTTCCCCATAGTACGTCGCTAAATCTTTAAAATTTCCAAAGGAATCCGCATAAACGTTCTCTCGTAAAAAATTGACTTGCCCAATTAAATTTGGCAACAGCTGATGTGGCTTGGTTCCTTTCTGTTAAAGGCGGTCCAACTCATCCTCTTTCTACACCTTTTTGCTTTTCCTACCTCACTAGTTTTCTTCTTTCTTCTGCTTATCATATTCACCATCGATATTGCCCCATTCCACAGCTGCGAAGTTCCTTCAATTTATTGTGTATGCAATTTGATCTCTGCAGAATTTGAATAATTGCTCGAGTTAAACGCGCGATCTTACGAAAAGGATCTCTGCAATGGGTCAATTCTGCCGTTCAAAGTAAAAACGCTGTATGAGCCTCCAGGCGTTGCCAAATTTCCTTTGATAAAATACAAATTTTCTGGGAAAATTTTGTATATTTTACCTCCAATTTTACAAAGGATTTTATTCGCAATTCAATCTACAGTATCTGAAAATTTTAAATGAAAATATGAATGAATTTCCTCAAAAACGAATGTTTTGTAGGGGGAAATTTGGAAACATCCGGACGCTCATGCGGCGTTTTTCCTTGGCACGACAGAATTGCTCTGCATACAAACAAAAGTCTATCTTCATTACAAATAAAATTTAAAAAATATTTTAGGATGATACTCCTCCTTTGTTGTCTCATCCTCCTTTTTCTACTTCATCCTTTTCTCTGTCTTCATCTCTACATGATTTTTCTCATTTTTCTTCTTTCTCTCTTCTTTTTTTTTTCTAGTTTCCATCCCTTCCATTTTTCTCTCACTTCCTCGATGAGGCTCGCATTTCTAATACAACATGACCGATGGGTTTTTTTTTCTCTATCAGATAAAAGCTATTTAATGTATATAAATGTTTGCAGACTGGCAAGGAACTTTAACACGTCATGAATTTATACGCTTTAACAGGTGTGATTTCTGGAAATCCTATGTGTTTCTTCAGACCCTCTTTAAAAATTATGTTACATAATCTAAGGAAGTATTCTCTTTTTTGCAGAGTTGTATTTAACAAGAAGATGTCAATAATCCGTCACATGCTATTCAGGCCACCCAGGTGAACTCTGAGGTGACTCTATCATCAGGTAAAAAAATCAGATTTTTGTTAGCCTTTGATACATTTTCAATTTTCTTACATCCCACTGTAAATTTTCTATGCGTAAACATATAACTTGGAACGAGATGTACCAAGAATTTAACGTTCATTCACCACAGAGATAATGTATTTATTTCTTTCCGTCGTCATTAGAGCTCTTTCGCGAAAAATTTTTAATACAGGTACCGTTTGATTAAAAAAGAAATTTTACCCACGAATGATCTTGACGTTAGACTTTGATCTTGACTTCAACATGAGATGAAAACCCCACAAATGGACTGATTTTCACCATAACGAGCCACCGGTATTGTGACGTTTGCCTAATCATGTGATCCATTTCATCTGAAAAGGAAAAACGTTAACCAAATTATCCATTTCTATTTTCTCGTAAGAAAAAAATATTAAATACATGGGAAAATTATCCCGTAGGATCAATTGATTCTTTTCCTGTCATGATTTTTTTGCTTTTATGTTTTCTTTTCCATTCCTCCAAAAAAGCTGTATTAAGTCAAGATCATTCGTATTTTTATTACGATAGCACAGAAGACCCCCGGACTTTTTATCTACCCTTCGGGTATCCATCGGGTTAGAAGGGGTTACATTTTTATGTGAATCTGTAAACACATTCTCATAAATTGATATAATATGAACTACCCCTTTCTGGCTAGTCTGCAAGATTTTTTGACCGCAGCTTTTGCGATAGAGTTTCCCTTCTTGTCGTAAAATAAACGCATCAACATTAAGGTGATTCGATGGACTCCATATTTTGTGTCAGAACGGCATGCGATATATCGCATCAATTGGTTCCATCTTTTCAGCTACTCGTCATTTTTTTCCAATTTTGAGATCGTAATTCTGTTGGTTTTTTTCAGAGAGAAAACATCGCATTCGATACTGATATCGAAACTGCACTCGAATGCGATATTTTCTCCCCAAAAAAACCACGCCTTGATTACGTTGAATTTCTTTGTTAAAATTGGTAAGTGAGTGCTTAAGTCTCCTGACAACAGAATTGCGATCTCAAAATTGGAGAAAAATTACGAGTAGCTGAAAAAATGGAACCAATTGATGCGATATATCGCATGCCGTTCTGACACAAAGTATAGCGCCCATCGAATCACCTTATACGTAGAGAATGCACAATCTTAGTGGCAGTAGTTCCTTATCGCTAAGTATAGCCCAAATGGACTGCATTTTGCAATTTGGAACTATAAATACTGGCTCTTCTGGAAAAACACTTATGTGCATAGGGAAACTAATGGCAATTATGTTGTTTTTAAACCGGGCTAGAATTTATAGTTCCAAATTGCAAAGTATAGCCCAAATATGAACCTGTCTGTAGAAAAGGTTATGAAAAGCACATCCTGCCGTGCAGACTTTTCTTTTTATACTTTGATCCTTTTGACTTTGCGTGACTGGAGGTTTCGGGCCGGCCGCAAATCCTCTCGATGGGGTTAGCGGCCACCTCAAAGGCCACGGTCCCGCCAAATGTCATTTTTAATTTCGTCGGCGGTCGGGGCATTCATAATTTATCGACTGCGCGGAGCGGGGCGCTCTCCCCTGTTTTCACGCGGAATAAACGCATTTGGCCGTCGAATGAAATATTTAAAAGATCGCTATCGACTGCGCCCCGACATTCTCCCCTGCTCGAAGGCGTCCCGGCCAGAAACTGCATCATTTTTCATTCAAGCTTCATTTACGTTCGAAAGAGATGCTACTTTCGTGCCGCCAGGTTCGATGACCGCCGTCGTACAAGCGGCTAAAACCGAAAACGCATCAGCCTCCATCAATAAGGAACTGAAAACAAGCGGGAAAACTCTAATACGAGTACGATCGTATTAAAAAAGTGTTCGGCTGTTTTCTGTGTAGGCGAAGGAATGTTTTCTGATTGTCTTGACTAAATTAACAGTGCCACGAAGTAACTTTCGCTATCATGACTATACAAAAATGTTTCTTGACGTCGTACACCTCCGTTCAATGAGTATTATCCCCGTAACGTGATTAGAAACTTATCGGGCTGAATTCAAAGATTTTTTGGCTATTAGATAAAAATAAAACCCTGGAGCTTGTTGTCCTAAAATTTTCCAATTTCGACTCCTTTTTTCATTGCCACTGAGTTGTTCAATGACAGTCCAAAAAATCGTTAGGCATTCCAGCACTTTTTTGTCACTCTTTAGGAAAAAAATTGGCAATCTCGGCACGATCTGTTGGTGCATCCGGAGATGAAATTTTCTCGTGAACTCGGTGACCAATTTTTGAAACATTTAGCTTTACTGGGGGTATATCCTTCTATTATTGATGGAGGCACCTTCTTATCAATTTATTTCACTTTTGCGGTAGTAATTTTTTAAACTGAGTATACTCACTCTCTGCAAGGCTCTCGTATGTACAAATCCTATACCTGCATGCAGCGACTAGCGATAAAGTTAAATAACAGAATTCCACTCAAAACTCTTTAAATTTTTTATAATTACGTTCTTATTTTTGACCAAAATTAAATGTTGCTGTATTGAATACCTCAAGTGAACCCTTTAAAGGCCCCGGAAAATACTCCGTCAGTCGTCAATTAAATATTTCGGTAAATTTTTGTCCCATTGTTCGCCGACTATCTTTCTTTTCTGCACTTTTCTCAGCCCGCCTTGATATCACTCGATATTGTATGAAGTAAGTCGTGGTTCCAGCCAACCAGCTGTAAAAGTTTCTTGAGTGGCCATAAAATTGATTTAGATATCTGCCATTTAGAAGAAAGGTTATGTAATCGACTGAGACATAAAATCTATCATCCAAATTTATTGAATGTGATTCTCATAGGTATTCTCGTGTTAGAGTAAGCGTAGCCAAGCGGTGATTCCGACAATGAGTGTTTTTGCAAATTGTTTTCGTTTTCCTTTCAAAGTTATCAAGCTATGATGCATTAATCAGAGGCTTATAAATTCTAGAAGTGCCTCGAGATAATAAAATTTGCCCACATTAGGCAAAGTTTGATTTAAACACATTTAAATGCCAAATTTGCTGGCTAAGCTATAGGAAGACATACAGTGAATGATATAAAAAACAAGCTAAAAGCCAAAAAATATTCAGTGTATTCACTTACATGATCATGCATGATTCATCTTTTGCTTGTTTTGTAACATCATGTAGTTGAATACACTGAATTATTTTTGGCTTTTAGCTCGTTTTTATATCATTCACTATACGTTTGAATTAAATTTAATTTACACAAAAAAGGAAAGTTCTGATTGTATTCCGAGTCTTTTTCCTTGCCTTCGAGTGTTCAAGAAATTCTCGCGGCGGAGTTAGGATAAGCTTTACGGTCAAGATTTTCTCATGGGGGGGTCGAATGTTAAATAATCTCAAAAACAAGAAAAATTTCGATTGTTTAGACAAATTTTCAGTCCTGGAGAGGGTAGACCCTTTGCACCCCTCCCCCCCCCCGGCAATACCGTTACTTTCATTTGAGAATTTTGAACAGTTAATACATATTTCGTCTCTTCCCGCTTGAAGCTGACTACCTCTAAGAGAATTTATAAAACTGATAATACATTGAGCGCACCGAAAAAAATAATATGCTGTTTTAGCATCTCGGATGTCAAAAATGTGTCTGGTGATCCCAAGATGCTGCCTTTACTGCCCCCGCAGTTAATTTTACATCCTGTGAATGCAAATTCAACTGCGGGGGCAGTAAAGGCAGCATCTTGGGATCACCAGACACATTTTTGACATCCTAGATGCTAAAACAGCATATTATTTTTTTCGGTGCGTTTCTGTATAATAACCCATGTATTAGTACTCACTGCTTATTTCCACACCGACAAGAAAAGGATGCTGATTTAACATTCTGGATGTAACAAAGTGTGCGACAACTCACAAAACGCTGAAATAACCGCTACAGCAGTTACTTCCGCAATGTAAAGATGTAAAACTAACTGCTGTGGCGTTTAATTTAGTGTTTCGTGTGAGTTGTCACACACTTTTTTACATCCAGAATGTTAAATCAGCATCCTTTTTTTCGGTATGCACAGTGCGGCAGCGTCTACCAGTGACTTTACGTGATAATTAGTGTCCGGTTGTCATTTTGAGCGTTCTACTCAATTATTCATTAATAAATGAATCGGTGAGAACGAAAACACACCAACTCGGAAAAATTGGAGTAATCAAGACACGCACAAAACTGCACAGTAGATGGAGAAATTAGTCTAAGAAAAACATTTTCGGTGCCGTAATACAAGCACTTAAGGACATTTCAAAGGTCCAAGTTGGAACGGATGCGCTAACTTCAATGGACTTCATAAAAATTGACTGTCTTTGATGAACATTGAGCGTTTTCGAGTTACCGAGTTGGTGTGTTTTCGATCTCACTGATTCGAATAGAAAATGTAGCACCGCGGATAAGCCGGCAGGTGGCACTAGTAGAAAACGTAAAGCTGCAAAAAGCCTACACGAATCCGCGACTGAAATCTTCTCGCTGAGCAGTGAATCACCCTGTATAATGACGTCATCTTGGCTGAGCTCACATGCACCCGCGCCCGCCGCGAGATTCGACAGCCGGCGACGGCCGGGCTCCCCAGCTTTTCTTCCTCTATCGCGCGCTTTAATCATTCGCTCACTCATTGACAAAGCAAGCGTGAAGTCTCCACTCTGGAAATAGTAATTAAAATAACTTAATGAAAAATTAAATTCGCCCCCGGGATATACGGAACCGGTAGTCGCTCCCGACCGGGGCACCGAGAGGGAGTGGGTGGGGGTGGGGGTGGGGGGGAGCAGGCTCACTCATCGGATCCATTCTCTTAATGAGGCGTGTCACGCTAAGTCGAATCGTGCCTCCCTCCTGCGAACTTTTAGCACCTTCCGCGCGCCCCCCTCTCGCCCCCACCCCGTTCCCGCCGCACCCTGTTTATTGAGAATGAATGTTCATATGCGAGCTTCGAGGCTCTTCATCCGTGAGCCGGGGCGGCGTGGTCTGAGCGAGGAAATCACCGTGTCGCGGCG